ATATAAAATGTGAAAAATCTTATTTCCTAGTAGAGCTGCACACAATGCATTGATTCACGTGCTCTGTCTCTTTCCCATGCATACATTGACCACCAACGTGTCTGTGAACAACCTATGTGTCTGTTTTTTAACACAACACTGTCAGTTGCTGAGATCCAACACTTCTAATAAGTTGTTAGCAAGCTAGTAAGGCTACATTAGAATACAGCTGTTGCAGAGGTTAGTGCACTGTATGTAGCATGGATATATATGGATGTCTCTGCAAGTGGATAAAGTTAATGCCAATTCTTAAACTCTGTTGCTGAATGTTTGCCCCCCCTCAGGTTAGGGAAATACTGAAGAATATTGCCATAGACTCACAAGGGCTTGTCTTCATAAGGTGTAAAGATAGTTTAACATTAGAAACTTAAGAAATCACACATGGGAAAGCTGAACAGTCTGGTTACTGGGGTTAGCTATTCACTTAATTCATTTTGAATATTTCCAGGCTTCAATCAGTGCAAGACAGGGTCAGGAAGAGATAAATAAAGAGATGTAGGAGAGGAGGAGGACAGCAGTCAACATGATGCTGTGGGAGAGCCATCTAATGAAGTGACAGGTCATATGAACAGCACAACAGCAAACACAGAGGCACTGTCAACCCTGCTATATTCTATATACATTGCCTTTGTACACTTATACTTTATTCTCTGAATAATTACTCCCGTTTCTCTGGACACAAAAGGACAAATTTCACTTTCATTTTCTAAAATTGTTACAGAAAAATTTGGATAAACTTCAAAGCTGCAAAGCATATACGATATTAGCAATAGCTCCCTAACTGTTACTGTCTTCTCTTTGAAGGTTCTGCTGGCTGTATCTGGAGGACCTTCCTCCTGTTCAATGCTCAGTCAAGTCCAAAAGGTTTCTTTGTTTGTCTGTCTGCTGCAAGTGTTAATATCAAAGCAATACTTCCAGGGCTTTGTTAAATTGTCTTGTAGGGTTAGGAGAAAATAGAAACCACAGTCATTCATGTGTTTCTGTTAGATGTTTGGGTCTGGTGCTGTATACTTTCTCTGTACATGCTAACACTTACAGTGGGTACGGAGAGTATTCAGACCCCCTTAAATTTTTCACTCTTTGTTATATTGCAGCCATATGCTAAAATCATTTGTTCATTTTTTCCTCATTAATGTACACACAGCACCCCATATTGACAGAAAAACACAGAATGTTTGACATTTTTGCAGATTGATACATGAAAATGATTGATACAGTCAATGTGGCAGCCTACCTGACTGTACTTATGTAGAGTTGTTCAGTTTACAATCATGTAATTAAATGGCCACATAATCTATATTCAAACCATCAAAATAAGCACAGCCCAGCTGCTTAAATAGGTCAATAATGGGCCCATAACTCCTGTGGTGGGACCCCTTTACTTGAGGCATTCCTATTATTTTGAAGCAGCCTTCAAGAACCTAGTGCTTCTTGTTTGTTTGTGTAGGTATGACATGCTGCAGTATCCCCCCTGCAGACACAACAAAGTAATTGTTTTTTAAATAATTTTTTAAAATAATAAGCTTGGTAATGATGTCAACATACACGTTAGCCAGCTACAGTACTTACATGTCTAGCAGGAAGAAAGCCACATCTCTGTCAAATTGTAGTCATTTGGAAGCTTTTAATGTGTAATGCAAGCTCACATGAACATATAATCCCCTGGAGATTATGGCCATTCAAGGAAATCCTTTAATTTGTTAGAAAAACTCTTGCGAGTTAGTTTGCGAGACGTGTATAAAATGAGTTGCTTCTGCATAGAAGTAGTAGAACATACGTACATCTCCTTTTTTGAGCTTTAGGTCACGTCTAAGATAATTCACTGTTAGTAAAAAAAAGAAAAAGCATGTCATGGGCTCTTTAAATGAGATGATCAAGTGCTATTTAAAATTTTACTTTATATTACAAATCTATAGAGATGGTCAGAAGGAGCTGCATTGCGTCTTTGTGGATTTAGAGAAAGCGTACGACAGAGTGCCGAGAGAGGAGCTATGGTACTGTATGAGGATGTCGGGAGTCGCAGAGAAGTACGTCAGATTAGTTCAGGATATGTATGAGAGGAGTATGACAGTAGTGAGATGTGCTGTAGGTCAGACAGAGGAGTTGAAGGTGGAGGTGGGGCTACATCAATGATTGGCTTTGAGTCCCTTCTTGTTTGCTATGGTGATGGACAGGTTGACAGATGAGGTCAGACAGGAATGTCTGTGGACAATGATGTTTGCGGATGACATTGTGATCTGTAGTGAGAGCAGAGAGCAGGTGGAGGAACACCTGGAAAGGTGGAGGTCTGCTCTGGAAAGAAGAGGAATGAAAGTCAGTCGTGGTAAAACAGAATACATGTGTATGAACGAGAGGGAGGGAAGTGGAACAGTGAGGTTACAGGGGGCTGAGGTCAAGAAGGTGCAGGAGTTTAAGTATTTGGGGTCAACAGTCCAGTGTGATGGGGAGTGTTAGAGACTGTAGCAGTGAGGAAAAGACAAGAGGCAGAGATGGAGGTAGCAGAAATGAGGATGTTGAGGTTCTCTTTAGGAGGGACCAGGATGGACAGGATTAGGGATGAGCACATCAGAGGGACAGCTGAGGTTGGCTGTTTTGGGGACAAGGTCAGAGAGGCCAGATTGAGATGGTTTGGACATGTGCAGAGGAAGGATAGTGGTTATATTGGTAAAAGGATGTTGGAGATGGAGCTGCCAGGCAAGAGGTTAAGAGGAAGGCCAAAGAGGAGATATATGGATGTGCTAAAAGAGGACATGAAGTTAACTGGGGTGAGAGTAGAGGATGCCGAGGATAGAGTTAGGTGGAATCAGATGATTTGCTATGGCGACCCCTAACTGAAACAGCTGGAAGAAGAAGATTACAAATCTATCCAGATTCTAATAAACCTCTAAATACAACTATAATCTAGTTTTTGTTTTAATAATATTAATGCATTTGACAACCATGTCTTTCTCCCAGGGTTTGAGTCGGAATGCTCACAAGAAGTTGAGATTCATACCTGGCATCGTCTATATTGATGGTAAATTAAGTAATCATTTTCTTGGGTTTTGTCATTCTTGAAATGAATCTGGCTGGAAGAAATTACCGTGCTTCTGTGTGTGATCATTCCCAGAGGGTGGTGCTCTAGGTCAGTCTGTGGAAGAGCGAATGAAGCTGGGGGCTGAGCTTCAGGCTATGTTCAAAGCTACTGGTTTCCCCTTCTACATTGTCCCTCTGGAACAGGTCAGTGAGGATGCAGGAGGCATCCATTGAACATCAACAGTCTGCTGCACGAATTACCATGAAATTCAGTAAATTCAGGTTTAAAGGTCTAAAGTCTCTTTCTAACATCCACTGTCATCTAAATACATAAACAAAGAGACTACAACAGCACAAATAATAAAATCCTTTTCCCTTTATCAAATAGATTATTGAATGTCTCCCCCAAACTATGCAGGTTCTGGACCTTCCCAGTTCAGTTGTGGTGATGGCCCCATCGTCCTCAGAGCAACCTGGCAGTGCCTACAAATCAGCAGTAAATGCCTTCATTCAGAGTGACAGCAGCACCTGTTTGACACCACAGGACCAAGAGGACACATCACTACCTGAGGTTCAGGAGTCCCACACACGGTCCCTGCAGCACCTCATTGCCTCAGTGAAGACACTGACGGCCAGACAAGACCTGCTAAATACACTAAGGTCAGACAGAGAGGAGCATGTCCTCATTGTTATTGATTTGATTTGATTTGATTTATTCTTTCAAGCATATAAAACAGTTGATATACAACACACATTTTTACACACAATCCAATATCAATTTGCTTATACCTAGTACATGCTTGAATGGAGTAGGAAGAAGTCAGACTTATCCAGTCCTACCCCATGACATCATCTTACCATCATTGGTTTGCAAGCAGTAAATGATTCACTTCTACACACTCACATATTATACTAAAAAGAATATAACAGTGTTAACATTCTTACATCACACAATTGATATACTAAAGAATGGTTACAAGATATACACCACACCCACAATAGTCCATATAATTAATCATTGAGCCTGTTCTTGCATATAGCCCTAGTGGCCATTATCCAGTACTGACTTTGCTCCAACAGTGTTTGACTTGATTGTGCTTTGATATTTAGTTTAAAGAGAAATATTGACGTGGGATAAGACTTCAGTCTCTCTGACTGTTTTGTCACGTACAATGAAATATTGGATAAAACATTGTCTCTCACTTTGTACTTACTGCACTTCAGGCAGCCCTAGTGGCCATTATCCAGATGGTGTGTTTTTCACATGGAAGGGTAATTTGACCCTTCTTACAATGAAAACACATTGTCAGTACCAAGTGCTCTGGTACAAAAGATGGCCAAGAGAAAGCAGTGGTAGGGGTACACAGAAAAATATAATATATATTTGGCATTGTTCTTACCAGATGTGAGAAAGATGTAGTAAAGAGAGTACTTTAAAATTTGCTCACTCTCAAGCTACCTTAACCCTGCTGTGTTCCCCCCGAAAGGCAGCATCTGTTTGTGCACACAGCTCGTACTGAAGGCTACAGTAAGCTGATGCTGGGAGACAGCTGCACTAGACTGGCTATTAAACTGCTGACCAGTATATCACTGGGTAGAGGAGCACAGCTGGCTCAGGACACGGTGCGTGTGTGTACTGATGATAACACTACATTTACAACTGTAAAGTTTCAGTCATCAAATCCAGAACTTTTTTTTTTTTTAATTCTATATTAAATGATACCAGATGTATAATGAAACTGTTTGTATTAATAGGGTTTCTCAGATTCCCGGTATGGTGACATAATATCAGTGAGGCCAATGAGGGACTACTCAGCCAAAGAAATATCTTACTACAACCACATGTTCAGTGTGCCTTCTGTGTTTATACCAAGCCTGGACACTAAGGTAAGATTTAGTATAGTAGATGTGACAGCAGCAATAGACCTTCAAACTACAATGTCATCTCGGCAAAAAATATCATCTTATTAAAAAGGAAAGGCCATATTTATTAGCATACTTAAGTGAGAACCTGCCAGGGAACCTTTCAGAGTAAAAAGCCTCCATGCAATAATGTCAAACCATTTTTGAATCCTTCTTGCCCTCGAACCTCAAAAAGTCTGACTCTCATAATTGTCACATAAGACAGTGAAGTCTAGTGTTTCTACTGGTTTGGATGCCCTTTTAGACATGAAATGTGTAACTGCTGTCTTCCTCAGTCTGTTCAAGTGGTGCTTATTGTCAGTCAGACAACAAAGGTGTGTTTTATGTATCTGTTCCATTTACAGGAAAAGCCCGAATGAGTGGGTTGGTGTGACAGTAAGGTTGAGTGCTGTTTCCATTTTCTGTCTCGAGTGGTTTACAGATGAAGTTGAAAACTTACTTTGCTGCTGAAACCATAATGACTGTTGTGAACGCAGAGGAAGCTCGCTCCCACTTTACACAGTGAATCCACGGATTTTAATTTAACTTGGTAAAGCACTGAGAACAACTTTGGAAAATGTTCACCTCAGTTTTGTCATTTCAAGCTATTAGAGAGTGAATTCTGCTGAGTTGATATCTGACAGTGCACATTAATGACAGATTAAGTTGGCACGGTGTTTTAATTCATAAGCTGTATTGCTGGATGTTCAATTATTCATTCAGGCAGTTGGCATGAATGAAAATCAAAGCTGTGTTAACTTCAAGTTGTGTTTCATAGTATATACAGTAGAGGTTTTGTGTAGGAGATGACTGAGATACATTTATTACAGCACGTCACCTTGTGATACCGCAAGTCTTTGTGTTAATGTGACTTGTAGTGAAAGTGTTATCACAAATGTTTAAGGTCTGATATATTTCAGTCATGACTTTTCCAGTGCTTATACTGTAAAACATAGTCACTCCCCTTGCAAGTTTGAATCATGCTTTATCTAATTTGCTTTTTTTAAATTTTTTTTTTTACACTGATCAATAGAAAAAGGCTCAGATAATTATTCATTAAGTATTCATGCTCTTCAAGTGAGTACTATTAGATGCACCTTTTGCAGCAATTACAGCATTGAACCTTTTTGGATAGGAATTAGTTTTGAAAAACTGCTGAAGCCCTGTCAGGTCACATGGGGGTCCTTGGTGAACATCCCTTTACAAGTCCAGCCACCAATTCTCTATTGGATTGAGGTCTGGGCTCTGACTCAGCCACTCCAAAACACTGTCATGTTTATGAACCCATTTGTTAGTAGTTTTGGCTGTATGCTTGGGTTCATTGTCTCGCTGGAAAACAAATCTTCTCCCAAGCTGGAATTCTTTTACAAACTGCATAAGTTTTTCTTCTGGGGTTTCCCTATATTTTGTTGCATTCATTTTACCCTCTACCTTCACAAGCCTTCCAGGGCTGGCTGTTGTGAAGCATCCCCACAGCATGATGCTGCAACTGCCATGCTTCATGGTGGAAATTGTGTTTGTGATAATGTGCAGTGTTTGGTTTATGTCAAATATAGTGTCTTCTTTGATGGCCAAAAACTCTCCATTTTGTTTTCTTTAGACCATAGAACTTCCTGCAGTTTATTTCGGTGTCCTATCCATATTTTCTGACAAACTCTAGATGAGATTTAATGAGCTTTTTCATCCCTGGCTTTCTCTTTGCTGCTCTCCCATAAAGCTTTGACTGGTGGTGGACACAGGCAGCTGTTGTAGTGTTGTCATGATACTGGAATTTCTAACTCCAATCAAGATCAAAAAAGCCAAATTAAATTGATTGTGATTTAGTGTAATAAAATAAAAAGTGCACAGTTCCAGGGTGAGTGAATCATTTTTAGTTCACTCTATGTAAAAGGGATTTGGGGGTTTATTCAGAGACAAGACCGACATGTTAAATTCCATCCATCCATCCATTTTCTTCTGCTTATCCAGAACCGGGTCGCGGGGGCAGCAGAATAAGCAAAGATGCCCAGACCTCCCTCTCTCCAGACACTTCCTCCAGCTCCTCCGGGGGAATGCGGAGGCGTTCCCAGGCCATCCAGAACATGTAAAGTCCACACAGAATGGCACCAAGTTGGCCGGGGCTTGAACCTGGAGTCGTCTTACTGTGAGGCAACAGCACTAACCACTGTGTGGCCAGATCTAATTTGACAAAAAAATTGGAGTTGAGCACATAATGTGAACATGGCCTTAGTTTTGTTCAGTTGATGACCCACTACACGTACCAGGTTACATTATTCAAATGTTAATTGTCATTGTCCTTCTTCACCACGACGGATCGGTACATCGACCGCATTGCTGCAGAAGCTGCACCGCTCCGCCTGTCAATCTCCCGTTCCATCCTTCCCTCACTCGTGCACAAGACCCCAAGATACTTGAACTCCTCCACTTGAGGCAGGAACTCTCCACCAACCTGAAGGGAACAAGCCACCCTTTTCCGGCTGAGAACCATGGCCTCGGATTTGGAGGTGCTGATTCTCATCCCAGCCGCTTCACACTCGGCTGCAAACCGCCCCAGTGCATGCTGGAGGTCCTGGTTTGATGGGGCCAACAGGACAACGTCATCTGCAAAAAGCAGAGACGAAATCCTGTGGTCCCCAAACCGGACTCCCTCCGGCCCCTGGCTGCGCCTAGAAATTCTGTCCATAAAAATAATGAACAGAACCGGTGACAAAGGGCAGCCCTGCCGGAGTCCAACACGCACTGGAAACAAGTCTGACTTGTTAAATTTACATCAAATAATGTAAAGTGTTGTACTCTACGTCTGAAAGGAGCTTTAAATGCATCGTCCATATCAGAATCCTGTGGCAATGATTTTCTTTGTTTTACATTTTTCCCGCCGCTGATTTATTATTTTTCTTTAAATACATTTTGACGTATAATCCTGAACAGACTTCTCCTTTCAGGGTTGATCTGTAGTATTAACTACTATGGCACCAGTATGACTTCAACCTGTATGAGACCTAAGAGCCAGGGTTAATCCCAAAGTTACCCAGCTAACTCTGTAATCTTGCTTTGTGAGACAAGCATGATTATGCTATAGTTGTGCCAAATTGTCACATTGCCTCTCAGCTGAATGTCTGAACATCAAAAAGGAAAGAAATGTTGGTATTTAGAAACACTCTAAACTCTGGTCATTTATTAAAATCTGAATAGTTTGTGTGAACCTAGATTTAAACATGTCTTTCTTTTTCCATCAGTTTATACACAGATTTTAAATGAACGAGTATACTATGATTACATAAACTTGTCAAGACATGTACATCCCCAGACTGTTGTGTTCAGTGTTCATTTGTGCCTTTTTCACAGACAACAGACAAGTCCAGCATTCAGCGTCTGACAGAGACCTTTGTCACTAAACTGCAGGGAGACTTCCCTTCTACTGTCAGCACCATCTATAGGTCAGTAGGAAACCACATACGTGAGGGGTTTGACATTATAATCATTGGATAATGGACCCTGGACAGTTTAGAAATAGCATATGTACCACTGCCTGTATTTTTTATTTTTTGTATTAACAAGATGCAAGTAATCTAGTATTTTATGCACACACAAACCAACTTTGGAAGCAGGCCATAGGGTCGTTTAAACCTGCTGTGTCATTTAGGACCAGTGAAAAGCTGCAGACCGCGTGTAGGAGCTCATCCACAGCTAACCACTGTGAAAGATGTCTACTCTGTATGTGTGCCCTGGACACAGCTGTTGGTAAGTACTGTATGGAGTGGATAGCCTATTGACTATTACAGAAACTTAAAATATGCATGCACAAATAAAGTCTTTGAACAAGAAGTTAACTTTACTGCGGTTTCATTAAATTGTTAAGAACTACTGTTGGTGAGCTCCATTCAGGGCACAACATCATTCAACACAGCAATAATATAAAATACCTACTGTAAGTACTCAAAATACCATTAATATCCATCCATCCATCCATTTTCTTCCGCTTATCCGGGGCCGGGTCGCGGGGGAAGCAGTCTAAGCAAAGATGCCCAAACCTCCCTCTCTCCAGCTCTTCCGGGGGAATGCAGAGACGTTCCCAGACC